AGTAAAACGGGAGGAAGGCTCGGGCGGGAGCGCTGGTTTTGTCGGGACGGCGGTTTTCGGGGGCGAGGAGGAACACCGCCTTGAGTAAAAAAGGGAGGATGCCTCGATCGGGAGCGTTGTTGTTGCTGGGGGCGGCGCCGATGAGAGAAAGAGTAGCGCGCCAGGCCAAAGTAAAACGGGAGGAAGTCCCGAGCGGTAGCGCTGGTTTGGTTGGGACGGCGTCTTTCGACGGCGAGGAGGAGCATCGCCGTGAGTAAAAAAGGGAAAATCTCGAGCGGGAGCGTTGTTGCTGTTGGGGGGCCGGTTTTGGCGCCCCCGCTAACCGCTCGAGCGTGAGCCTCATTTTCAATGAAAATGTAGCCGACGCCGAGGCGAGAGCGCCAAGGCGCCTGGGGGGGGTCCAACAATATTACTTATTTAATAATCCCACCAGCCCTCTGATCGTAGGTGGTCTGAGGTGTTTCCTCTTCCACCCCCTTCTTCCCCTTCGGGGAAGGGTTTACCCCACCCCCTCCTCTGGATCTGGACGGGGCGTTCCGCAAGCGGTCGGAGCGTCTAAGATGGCCCAAGTTGGCTCCAAGAGGGCCTACGAGAGCCCAAGATGGCCTCGAAGATGGCTCAAGATAGCGCAAAATGCCTCGAGATGGCCCCCAAGATGCCCCAAGAAGCCCCAAGACCGCTTCAAGACGCCGGCCCCGAGGAAATTAAAAGTCTTCAAAAACCTATAGAAAAAATGCTGTTGGGTGTCCCGCCTTTTCACTTCCGATGGCCTTCCGAGGCTTCAAGGTGACTCCAACATAGCCCAAGAGGGCCCCATGAGAGGCCCAAGAGAGCCCCAAGACGACCCCAAGAGCGTCCAAGAGCGCTCCATGAGCGCCCCATGAGCGCTCCAAAAGGCGAGTTTAGGGGCTCTGGAAGGGCAAGGCTAATTAGGGACCCCCCCTTGTTTTATCGATATCATCCAAAATTGCTCCAAGAGAATTCCAAAGGCTGCGAAATGCTTCCCAAGATGGCCAAAAGAGGCGCCTAGACGGCCCCAAGAGGCGTCCAAGACGCCCCCAAGAGGCTCACAAGAGACCCCCAAGAGGCCTCAAGAGGATCCCCGAGGCACCCCAGACGCCGAAAGACCTCCCTGGGCCCGCCAAGAAGCCCCCCAGACGCCCCAAGAAGCCTCCAAAAAAGCTTCCGAGGAGAGGCATTCAAGACGTTTATGGCTCTTCTGCTCGCCCTTTTCCTCCTCCTCAGACTGACAATAGCTCACCGCGAATCCTGTTTGGATGGGCCAAGCACGCCCAAAGACGCTCCACAACGACAAGGTATCCATATGTGTTTGTGTATTTCTGTTTCTCTATATGCTCACATACTGCCCTTCTCGTGACACTTCGCCTGAGTATCGGTTATGGATGGGCTGGTGGTGACACGCGAAGCGTCAACAATTAACATTCAGCAACACTTTGCAGCTGGTTCCCTGCGCATGGAGGTCAGGGCCCCCCCATCTATTCCAGATCACAGCAGGATCAATCGGCATCAAATCGGGAAATTGGACCGAATCGAAACGTCCGTCGACATCGAAAAGGATCCGCTGCGCCAGGATGCACAGCAACGCCATGCAAGCATCACGCCGCATCGGATCGTCTGCATATCGGAATCGGGTCTGATCGGGCCAGCCAGCATCGATATCGAATCGGATCGATCGAATCGAAATGGACCCTGTCAGGGTGTGCCCCCTGCCGAAAGAGCGCGTTTCACGGGCGCTGGCCTTGGGAACATTCGGCGGCGCGTTTCGAACCAGGGGGTGGGCCCCCCCCCCCAACACTCGGCGCCGTCGATCAGAACCAGGGGGGCTCCCCTCCCCCCCAACCCCCTCCCTCCCGAACCCCCCCCCACCAGCGCCGGCGCCAGCGCTGGCGGCCGCCGCAGCGACGATGACCAGAGAGGGCCCAGGGGGGGGGGTTCAACCCACCCCCCCCCGCGCCGGCGCCGGCGCCGGCGCTGGCGGCGGCCAGCAGCGCCAACGGCGTGAACGCAGCGACGATGACCAGAGAGGGCCCAGAGGCCGCAGAGGGAACATACAAATCGCCATATCGAGCCCTCGCATGCTCCTCAGACGCCCCCGAGACCCTTCTGACGAGACCTCAGGAGGCATCCATTAGAAGTCTGACCCAAAGCCAAAAACCACCACCATAACCACCACAACCCACCATCACAACAACCACCACCATCACCCCAAACCACCACCTCACAACCACCACCACCACCAAAAACGCAACCACCACCAGTACCACCACAATCCACCACAACCCACCTCAACCACCACCACCACCACAAACCACCACACCATAATCACAACCATCACCACCACCGCCATCACCACCACCATCACCACAACCCACCACCAACACCACCACCACAAACCACCACACCACCACCACCACAACCACCACTACCACCACCACCACCACCACCCACCACCCACCACCCACCACCACCACCACAACCAGCACCACTACCAGTAGCACCACCACCACCAACACCACAGCCCACCACCACCACCACCACAAACCACCACGCCACCACCACCACCACCGCCGCCACCACGACCACCACCATCACCACCTCAACCCACCAGCACCACCACCAAACCACCACACAACCACCACCACCACAGCCACCAACCACCACTACTACAACAACTCACCACCACCACACCCACCAATACAACAACCCACCACCACTACCACGCCCACCACCACAATCCACCACACCACCACCACCACGGCCACAACCACCACCACTACTACCACCAGCACAACCCACAACCACCGCCACTACCACCACAACCAGCACCCCCTCCGCCGCCGCCAGCCGCCGCGTAGGGCCCTACGCGTAGGGCCTCTCCTCTCTCCCCCTATAAGGGGAGAGAGGAGAAGGGGGGGCCGAGAAGGGGAGGGGGGAGCGCCGGCCCGATTAGGGAAGGGGGGGGGAGGGGTTCGACCCCCCCCCCCTCCGTCACGAGGGGGGGGGGGGGCGGGGGGGGAGGGTCGAGCCCCCCCCCCTCCGTCCAGGGAGGGGGGTGGGGCGTCCAAACCCACCCCACCCCTCCAAGCGACCGCAGAACGCGCCCCTTCCCCCTGCCAGACGCCATCCTCATCAATGTCTCCAGCTGCGTCAAGCAACGGCCACGAGGGTCACCCAGAAGCCCGCGAGATTGAGAAACAGCAGAAAAACCTAGCCATGCTCCCAATGAAGAGGATATCAGTGCGGCCTGAACGTGGGCTTATTAACAGCTCTATGGTGGCGACGTCGTTACGCCTTGCGCATTGTTGTACGCCGCCACCCCCGATATACCGTAGCCCCACGCTCCAGGGCGGGAGAGGACCATCGATCCCCTTTCGGCGATGTATAGGCGCTTAGGGGTCAATTCATTCCCCCCTACGCGTATCCCTGCCATAACGTTCCTCCTCATTCTCCTCCTGCTCCTCCTCCTCCTCCTCCTCTGCTCCTCCTCCTCCTCCTCCTCCTCCTCCTCCTCCCCTCCTCCTCCTCCTCCTCCTCCTCCTCCTCCTCCTCCTCCTCCTCCACCTCCTCCTCCTCCTCCTCCTCCTCCTCCTCCTCCTCCTCCTCCTCCTCCTCCTCCTCCTCCTCCTCCTCGTCCTCCGAGTCATCCTGGCTTTCGGATCATAACTCGGGCATGCGGCGCCCGTTCGAGACGCTCCGGGCGCCCCCGCGGAACGCTCTCGGAGAGGCGCAGCCGCAGGCAGGCCCCCCGGGGCTGAAAGGGCGCCGAGATACAACGGAAGAACCCGAAAAGCTCGAATCTCGATCCCCTTCCTCAGCTGGCGAAGGGGAGGCGAAAGTGCCCCCGCGGCGTCGGGGACGCACTACCATGGATCAGCCCAAGCCCAGATCGGCCAGAGCCCTGTCGCGAAGCCTGGTGCCCGCTGGCCGCCCATTGGCTCCCAGACCCTCGTCGGCGGAGGGCGGCAAGGGGGAGTCGGCCCCACGTGGCTTGCACACCTGGGTCAGCCAGAGCCGATTGGTTTTCCGGAGAATGGACAAGTCCGCTGCCCTCGAGGGAGCTATCCCGCGCCGCACTCAGGCCGACTATACAAACATGCACTCATCAAAAATGAGAAGCCCCAGATATAAATGTTCATGCTGTTGCACAGGCGTCTAAGCACCAGCGAACAACTGCCCGAAATTTCGCCCCGAGTTTTGTCAACGTTCGCGGTCAGCCAAAGAGGATTGGCTAACCCCTATTACGGCTGACCCCCGCTACTGCACAGAATGCACCCATGCACCACCACCGTGCCTGGACAGGACCCCCCCTGGGCCCTGGCATATCGCCGATGCATCGTCGAAGTATCGTCGATGAATCAGCGGCGGCGGCGTCGGCGACGAGATGCAGCGGCGACGTCCGCATGGAAAAGATCAAGCTCCTTATCGAGCCGCATCGCCGATGCATCGGCGAGGCTGCGCGATCCTCATCCGGGAGAGGCCTCGAGTGTACAGTCGGGGCTGATTGGAGAGGACGCGAGAGGACACAAGACCCTTCCGAGGGCCACGCCGCAACAGGAATTGGGTCACGAAGCACAGGACACGAGGGTGCCCTTGATTTGGCAGGGTCGAGCTACCAATCCTCCTCCTGGGCCAGTAGGAGGGAGAGGAGGAGGAGGAGGAGGAGGAGGAGGAGGAGGAGGAGGAGGAGGCGGAGAAGGAGAGGAGGAGGAGGAGGAGGAGGAGGAGCAGGAGGAGCAGGAGGGGAGGAGGAGGAGGAGGGAGGAGGAGAGGAGGGAGGGAGAGAGGGGAGGGGAGGGAGAGAGGGGAGGGAGGGAGGGAGGGAGGGAGGGAGGAGGAGGAGGGAGGAGCAGGAGGCGCGATCCTCATCTGGGAGGCCTCCACTGCAGATGTCTGCTGCGGAGCGTGAGCCCCGACGCCGGCGAGGCGCGGAGGCGACCGAGGCGACGGGGCGGGCGGCGAGCGGGCGACGGGGGGGCGGCCTGCGCCGTGCGGCGCGAGGGCGTCCGGCGGTTCGTGGCCGCCTGCGCCCCGCCCGGGGCGGCGGCGGCGACGATGACGACCATTACTCAGAGATCAGGTCGGGCGTGCCCCGGGGGCGCGCAAACATTTTTGATGCGATCCATGGAGTTGGCACGCAGACATGGATTCGCGATCCATGGAGTTGGCACGCGGTCGCCAAATCCATGGATCGGGGGAGGTGCCCTCCCCGAAGTGCGGCCCGTGCCGCCTCGTTCGGCGGCGGGAATCCGCGATTACCGGTGGAAACGGGACCCGTCGCTAATCCACGCCCCCTTAATCCATGCTTGCGATCGCCTGAGTGTCATCCTAGAGGCGGATCTTGGACGAAAAAACGATGAACAACGAATCATCTAAACTATGCCCCTCCCCTAAAGATAGGCAAAAAATGATTAGAAGTTCGTCCCGAGACTATTTTGTTGACCATTCTTGAATATCCGAGGGACAGGCCCGATTTCAGACTAAGACCAAGACAACGACAACGCGACGACGACGACGACGACGACCACGACCACGACCACGACCACGACCACGACCACGACCACGACCACGAGGGCGACGGCGACGACGACGACGACGACGACGACGACGACGACGACGACGACGACGACAACGACAACATACTCTGGCTGGTGCCTTAGCTGGTACTGTAGCTGGTACTCTGGCTGGTACTCTGACTGGTACCCTAACTTGAGCCACCTTGGGCCCATCGTGGCCGTCTTGGGGCGCTCGTCGGGCCCTCCTGAGGCCTCCTGGGGCCCTTCGGGGCCGTGTGTGGCCCATGTGGGGCCGTCTTGGGCCCTCGTGGGGCGCTCCAGAATCAGCCTCCCCAACCGGGACCGAAGTTGTGCTGGGGAATTTTTGTTCATGAATAAGGGAACCGATTGTATTAGTAGAACCATCTTGGCGACGGTAATAATGCAGGGTCCCGAATGGGCCCTGTTCGGAGTCTCTTGAAGCCGTTTTGAACTGGCAACTTGGGGCCCTCTGGGGCCGTCGTTGCCCCTCTGGGCAATCTTGGGGGCCTCGTGGGGCTATTTTGGGGCGGTCTGGGGGCCCAGTTGGGCTGCTATTTTGGGGCGGTCTGGGGGGCCAGTTGGGCTGTCTTGGGGCCCTCTTGGGCCGTCTGGAGCCCATCTAGGGGCCCTCGTGGAGCGTCTTGAGGCCGTCTTGGGCCCCTTTTGGGACAGTCCTGGGCTCGTCTTGGGGCCCTTTTGGGCGCCTAGCGGAGCCATCTTGGAGCGATCTCGGGGGATTCTTCGGCCGTCTCGAGCGCTCTGGAGACCAAGAAGCCGAGTATGCGATAATAGCACCGAAACCTCAGGAAAACCACTGATTTTTACTCCCGGGGGCATCTTGGGAGTCGTCTTTGGGCCCCCTTGGGCCATCTCGGGAGCCCGTTGGGCCGTTGAGTGGCCCTCTTGGGCCCGACGTGGGCCATCTTGGGCCCACCGTCGCTGCATTGGTGCGCTCGTTGGCCCCTCCTGAGGCCTCCTGGGATCCTCTGGGGCTGTCTCGGGGCCCTTTGGGGCCGTCCTATACACGTATGTGTAGATATAGACATAACTAGATAAGTACATGTATACAAGACTGCATTGGTGCTTCGCGCCATGCACCCTGGTCCTTCACCCTGTCGGCGTGTGCGAGGGGCTTCTCCGTGCGCGTTGTCGTCTCCGTCGTCTCCTCGTCGTCTTCGTCGTCGTCACAGTCGGCTCCTCGCCGTATCCGTCGCACCCCGGCCCTGTCCCTGGGCCCTCCTCAGCGAAATTTTACAACGTCGCATTGGAGTCGAAGGGAAGCCCCTTCCCTTTGATCCCTTGCCCGCGGGAGGGGTCCTGGGGGGGGTCCCGGGGGGGGGTCGCCACCCAGATTCGTTTTCCCCCGGGCGGCTCCGACATGTCGAACAGCCCCAAAAAGAACCCAGAATGCCGAAGATGGCTTCCACGATTGCCCACAAGAGCCCCGTGTCGCTCAAAGATCGGCCCAGCACGGCCAAGGTGGCCCTAAAACGATCCAAGAAGCCTCCTAGACGTCCCAGGAGCTGCGGCCGTAAGGCCTTCGCAATAAATCAATGTATGTAAGACTGCGATGGTGCTTCGCGCCAGGCACCCTGGTCCTTGAGGCTTTGCATATGTTGGTCGTTCGCGCCATCCCTTGTGGCCTTGGAAATTTGGCCTCGTCCCTGCGGAGGTTTTCAGAAGTCTTCGAAAATTCGGATGGTCACTGGCCCTTCTCAGACCTTTGGGGGCTCCCGAAAGGCGCCGGGTGGAGGGCGAAGGATAGGAGGGAGGGAATCTCGTGGAGCGAGGAAAGGAAGCGAATGTGGGGGAGGACGAGTGGTGGAGCGGCAGAAAGAGGAGGAGGAAAGCGACGTCGGGGGACGGCGAAGAATGTTGCATCGGGTTGCAGCGAGTCGCAACGGGGTACGCGAACGCAAGTAATTCGCAGGGAATGCACCCAATCCCGGGTTCGCAACAGATTTCCGGGATTTGTGGTTGTGAGCCCAGGATTCGGGTCAGTTTGGTAGAAAACGCCGTGAGGGCCTTGTTGGAGCCATGGTGGGCCGGCCGGCTTGGGGCCGTCTCGAATCGTCTTGGTACACATACACATACACATACACATACACATACGCATACGCATACACATGCACGTGCACAGTATCATACACATAGAGATAAACAGACAACTACACGCACACATACACATATACCCACACGTACACACATGTGAGTATATATAGATATATGCAATACATGCACGTATACAAGAACCTGTCTACCCATGTACAGCAACTGCTATATACCCATGTACATACAACCGTGCAGATATATGCACATTACATACACATGTATATATGTAACTAAATGCATACGCATGCCCGTATCACAGTTCATCGACGTATACGTATATGTGCACATATGTATATACAGATACCTGTGCATAGACATGTGCATCTACCAATGCCCGTATATTTGCATATACATGGGTACAATTAAACCATCAATTACACACATATCTATTCGTATAAATATACATGTGCATAAACACCTATTTATATATATACACATAAATCCCACCAGCCCTTTGGGCGTGAGTGGTTTAGAGAGCTATCTCTGTTCTCAACCCCCCTTCTTCCCCTTCGGGGAGGGGTTTACCCCTCCCCCTACCCCCTCCCCCTGGGCCTGGAGAGGGCGTTCCGCGGGTCGTTGGAGGGGTCTTTTTCGACTCCTGGGAGGGCTAAAAAACGGCACCCCTCACGAGGATTATGGCCCCGACGGGGGGGGGGGGGGAAGAAAAAAAATATCTTTGATCGATCGCCCGAAAGTAGGCCCCAAGATACCTCCCAGACTCCTCCCAAAGAGCCCCAAGAGGCCCCAAGAGGCCTCCAAGAGGCCCCCAAGAGGCCCCCAAGAGGCTCCCAAGAGGCCCCAAGAGGCTCCCCCGAGGCACCCAAGACGCTCCTGGAAGCCCCTGGAGCCGCCAAGAGGCCCCCAAGACGCCCCAAACGGCCTCCAAGAGGCTCCCAAGAGGCCCGAAGAGGCTCCCCCAAGGCACCCAAGACGCTCCTAGAAGCCCCTGGGGCCGCCAAGAGGCCCCCAAGACGCCCCAAGAACGACTCACACCAGGACGAGGCGCCCGAACGACTCACACCACGAGGAGCCCGAACGACTCACACCACGACGAGGGCCCCGAACGACTCACACCACGAGGAGCCCGAACGAGTCACACCAGGAGGAGGGGCCCGAACGACTCACACCAGGACGAGGGGCCCGAACAACTCACACCACGAGAAGCCCGAACGACTCACACCAGGACGAAGAGCCCGAACGACTCACACCACGAAGAGCCCGAACGACTCACACCAGGAAGAAGGGCCCGAACGACTCACACCAGGACGAGAAACCCCAAACGACTCAAACCACGAGGAGCGCTTTCTCTCCCTCCTCCTCCGCCTCGTCCTTCTCCCGCTCCCACCACAAGGAGGATGTACAAGGAGGCGGGAGGAAGGAGGAACAGGGGAGATATGCGGGGGCAGGCGGAAACACGCCTGAAAAACACGACTGTCGGCATGCTTCGCAAGAGTTGCTGTTTTGAGATGGGCTGGTGGGGATACGCAAAGCGTGAAGAATGCAAGCGCATCGTCAGATGCATATGCAAGTACGTGCACATACACATATACATTCACCGAACCATATACATATGCATGTCCATACACAAATGTATATACGTGTGTATATATACTAGAACCGTCGCGCGCGCTTCGCGCGCGGTCAAGTTCTAGCTAGGCTTGAAAGGCTATTTAATGTCATATCATGGTGGTCGCTTCTTGCGTCCAGGGACTCCTTTGGAGGCCCTGCGCCGGCCTCGGTATCGTACAGAGGGGGAGTGCGGGAACGCAGAAATCATTAATTTCCTTGAGGTGTTCAACGATTGGGGCCCTCAAAGGCTTCCTGGGATCTTTTTGGGGGAGGTGAGGGGGTCTGACTTGTGGTCTGCTGTGCAAGAGTAGACCAAGGGCCAAACTTGAAAAAAAAGGAATTGTGGGATGCCCATTTTGTCCCAATTCCTCGGCGCTGTTCGGCGCTGTTTTTGTTTGTGCCTCGCGGGTTTTGTGAGTCCCTCAGGGGTGTGGGATCTTCCGGATCCCCTGTGGGTCTGGAGGCCTCCTGGAGGCCTGGAGAGCCGTCGGAAGGGTGTCTCGGGCTCCGCGGGAGCGTGTTGGGCCGTTCTTTGCGTTCTGGGAGCTCCTTGGGGTCGTCTTGGGCTGTCCTTGGGCGTTGTGGGGGCCCCCTGAAAAGCCGGGAGGCGCGGTACTGGCCAGATGCCAGGGGATTGCAGGACCCCCGAGTAGGACTTTGAAAGAAAATAATGTATGGGAATCCCCTTTTCTTTCCCAACCATCCTGTGGTGTTGGGTCCTCGTTTTGAAACGACGGTCCCCGCGTTCCTCCTCTCCTCCTCCTCCCCCCAGGCCTCCGCGCGCTGGTTCCGAGAACTCGGCGCCGCCCCAGCCCCCCATGCTGGCGGCGGCCTCGGGGCGGGGCGCGGACGGGGGGCGGCAGCGAGGGAAAGAAAGGAGAGAGGACGCCAGGAGGACGGGGAAGGGAGGAAGACGAGGACGGGGGAAGAGCAGCAGGAGGAGGAGGAGGAGGAGGAGGGGGAGGAGGAGGAGGAGGAGGAGGAGGAGGAGGAGGAGGAGGAGGAGGAGGAGGAGGAGGAGTGAGGAGGAGAGGAGGAGGAGGCGGAGAAGGAGGAGGAGGAGCGTGAGAGAGAGAGAGAGAGAGACAGGAGGAGAAGGACGAGGAGGATGAAGAGAAAGAGAAGAGGAGAGGAGGAGAGAAGAGGAGGCAGGAGAAGAGGAGAAGGAAAGGAGAGAAGGAGAGGAGAGGAGAGAGAGAAAGAGAGGAGAAGGAGGATGAGGAGGAGGAGGAGGAGGAGGAGGAGGAGGAAGAGGAGGCAGGAGGAGGAAGAGGAGGACGAGGAGGACGGACGGACGCTGCAATCCACCCTGGGTGAAGTCCGACCAACGTCGAAGACGTGATCGAACTACGAGCCTGGAAAGAGATATGAAAATGTGGTGCATGGCAACGTTTTCAAGACGCCTGATCGGGCGACTGGCAATTGCAATGCTCAATGTATCGGTCTGAATATACGAAGAGCGCGTTCTGTGGTCGCTTGGGGGGGGGTGGAACTGGACCCCGCCTCCCCCCCTGGATCCCTGGATGGAGGGGGGGGGTTCGAACCCCCCCCCCTCGTACCTCTCCTCTCTCCCTCTCCTCGGCTGGCGGCGGCGGCGGCGGGGACGACGATTTCGTTTTCTGGGCCGGCGCCGGCGCCTGCGGCGTCGGGCGGCGGCGGCGGGGAGCGTCGACGACGACGGTGGTAGTGGTGGTGGTGGGTTGTGGTGGTGGTGGTGGCAGTGGTGGTGGTTGTGGTGGTGGTGTGGTGGTTTGTTGTGGTGGTGGTGGTTGTGGTGGTCGGTGGTGGTGGTGTGGTGGTGGTGTGGTGGTGGTTTGTGATGGTGGTGGTGGTGGCGGGTTGTGGTGGTGGTGGTGGTGGAAGGTTGTGGTGGTGGTGGTTTAATGGTGGTGTGATGGTGGTTTGTGGTGGTGGTGCTGGTGGATTGTGGTGGTGGCGGTGGTTTGTGGAGGTGGTGCTGGTGGTGGTTGTGGCGGTGGTGGTGGTGTGGTGGTTTGTGGTGGTGGTGGTGGGTTGTGCTGCTGGTAGTGGTGGTGGTGGTTGTGGCGGTGGTGGTGGTGGTGGTGATGAGTGGTGATGGTGGTGGTGGGTTTTTGTGGTGGTGTTGGTGATGGTGAGTTGTGGTGGTGGTGGTTGTGGTGGTGGCTGTGGTGGTGGTGGTGGTGGTGGTGGTGGTGGTGGTGGTGGTGGTGGTGGTGGTGGTGGTGGTGGTGGTGGTTGTGTGGTGGGTTGGTGGTGGTGGTGGTGGGCTGAGGCGGTGGTGGTGGTGGTAGTGGTGGTGGTGGTAGTGGTGGTTATCGTCGCTGCGTCCCCGCCGTCGCCGGCGCCAGCGCCGGCGCTGCTGGCCGCCGCCAGCGGCGGCGCCAGCGCCAGGGAGGGGGGTTGAACACCCTCCCCCACTGGCGCCAGGGGGGGGAGGTTGAACCCCCCCCCCCCCCCTGGCTGCCTCTGGTCATCGTCGCTGCGTCCCCGCCGTCGGCGTTGCTGGCGGCCGCCGGCGACGGCGCCGGGGGGGGGGAACCTCCCCCCTTCTGGGAGGGGGGGGGGGTTCGGGAGGGGGGGGGGTTGGGGGGGAGGGGAGTCCCCCTGGTTTTGATCGACGGCGGCGAGTGTTGGGGGGGGGGGGCCCACCCCCTGGTTCGAAACGCGCCGCCGAATGTTCCCAAGGCAAGCGCCCGTGAAACGCGTTCTCTCTACATATGCGGTGCCCAGGGCTGGGCTGCGCTGTGCCGTGCTGAACTGCGCTGTGCCATGCCACGATTGTGCTCTGTAGCGTTGTGGATCGAGTCCTCCTTGGAATTCAAGTCCTGACCGAACTGATCTGGATCTCAAGCTCGAGCTGCCTGAACACATAGTAGCCGCCCAAGAGCTAGATGAAGTGGAAAAATGGAGGACGTTCACGCAACTCGACCTCAAAATCCGACTCAGCTCCGAAAAGGAACGACACGACATGGGGCACAGGCTCACGGACGCGCCGCAGGATGTGCCAGGGGCCCAATAGGGGATGCGCCAGGGGACGTGTCAGGGGACGCATCAGGAGACGTGCCCTGGACGTGTCAGGGACCTGCCACGGGACGTGCCAAAGCGCGTGCCTTGGGACGGCCAGAGGACGTCATGCCAACGGACGTTGCAAGGGATCTGCCATGAAACGGGCAGGGGAAACGCCTGGGGACGAGCAAGGAAACATGACAGAGGACGGGCCAGGGAACGTGCCACGACGACTGGCGTGCTAGGGGACGTGCCAGGGCACGTCACGCCTGAACGTCACAAGGAACACGCCAGGGCGCTAGGGGACGCCCAACGGACGGGCGGGGTTGGACTGCGACGCACTCTACTGCGACAAGCGTTTCGCTCGAAACATCCTCAACAACTCCGCATGCTGGACATCCGCCTGGGCGACCTGGGCACGAGAAACCAAGCGTCTCGCTCGAGACGTTCTCCACACCTCCTCATGCTAGACATCTGCCTGCGCGCCCTGGACACGTGAAACCAAGCGTTTCGCTCAACACATCCTCGACACGTCCTCATGCTAGACATCCGCCTGGGCGACCTGAGCACGTGAAAACGAGGGGTTCGCTCGAGACATCCTCCGATGAGCTTCATGATAGACATCCGCCTGGGCGACCTGGGCACGTGAAACCAAGCGTTTCGCTCAACATATCCTCGACACATCCCCATGCTAGACATCCGCGTGGGCGACCTTGTACACGTAAAAGCACGCGTCTCGCTCGAGGCATCCTCACATCCTCATGTTAGACATCCGCCTGGGCGACCTGGGTACGTAAAAGCAAGCGTCTCGCTCGAGACCTTCGCAACACATCCTCATGCTAGACATCCGCCTGGAAGACCTGGACACGTGAAAGCAAGCGTCTCTCGCGAGAAGTCATCAACACATCCTCATGTTAGGCATCAGCCTGGGCGACCTGGACACGTGAAAACAAACGTTTCGCTCAACACATTATCAACGCATTATCATGCTAGACATCCGCCTGGGCGACCTGGACAAGCGAAAACAAGCGTCTCTCGAGACATCCTTAACACATATTCATGCCAGACATCTGCCTGGACGACCTGAACGCGTGAACACAAACGTATCACTCGAGGCATCCTCGACAAATCCTGATGTTAGACATCTGCCTGGGCAACCTGGAGGCGTGCAACAAAGCGTCTCGCTCGAAACAACCTCAAGACCTGGGCACGTGAAAACAAGCATTCCACCTGAGACATCCTCTGCACAAACGTTTCGCTCAAGACATCCTCAACAAATTATGCAAAACGAGCGGTTCGCTCGTTCGAGACACCGAAAGAAACGAACCAATACTTACTTTACCCTGTGTTTTATGGATCGGAATTTCAAACGCCAACGTTTCGCTCATCCTGAAATTTTAATTCGCTGGCCCACCTCGACCTCGTCATTCGCAAATGTAAATTCGCCAGCCCATCTCAAGTCGAGGCCAGGGGGAAGCATCTGAAAGAGAATCCTGGGCCTCCGCCCTTTCCGGGAAAAAGGAGGAAGAGGAGGACGATGAGAGAGGAGGGGATAAAAAAAAAAAAAAAAAAAAAAAAAAAAAAAAAAAAAAAAAAAAAATGAGAGAGGAGGGGGGGAGGAGGGGAGGAGGAGGAGGAGGAGGAAGGAGAGGAGGAGGAGGAGGAGGAGGAGAGGAGGAGGAGGAGGGGAGGAGGAGGAGGGGGAGGAGGACTGACGCCGCAAGCCACGCCGATTGAAGTCTGACCAGAACCAAGGAGGAAGAGGAGGAGAAGGAAAATGAGGAGGAGGAGACAGAACGAGAAGGAGCGCTCTGACCCAGAGAGGGGAAGAAGGGCGGCCAAGAGCAAGAGAAGAGATGAGAAGAGAAGAACGAGAAGAGCATCCTTCGTCATCTGCCCAAGAGCAAGCGGCGGGGGCGGGGGCCCCTGCACTACAGGTAGGTAAGGCGGGCCTCGGTAGCCCTGCGGATTCGGCGACCTACCAGGCGTCCCCGATGGCGGCACGCGCGGTGCATCACAGCAAACCGATGAAAATGCAGACGGAAGCTGGGCGGGACTCGGCAAGCGGGAGGAGCGGCAAGAGGGCAGCACGAGCACAGTGGGGGGCAGCGAAGAAAGACGGAGGGCGGCAGGGCAGAAGAGGGGACACTGACAGGCAGGCGGGGCAACTCGATAGCGGCCCTGGTGGCCACCCCCAAAGGGCGAGCTTACAGAACTCACAATCAAGACGATTTTGTGAAAAGCGTGCAGGTGTGCACCAAGCATAAATTGGGGTCCTGAGCATGCTGGCCATCACACCAAAGGCAAACATCGACACGGCAGAGGATTTGTAGCATAGCAACGAAGCAATGCATACGGGCAAGCGGGCCCACAGCAGGATGAAGTCGACGGGCACGCCGGGGAGAACACGAATGGCCGAGACACTTCTCTGGCGACTGAAGAGGGACTCAGCTTTAACCTGGATTTTGCACACCCCGAACTGCGGAACACTCGGTAGAGCCTGCAGACTCCGGAGGTGATCACGCAGACGGTAGGACATGGCAAGCTTGTGCCAAGGGTTCAGACGCCATGGGATCACACATTCATTCGTTCGAGCCGTCATAGAAATCGACGAGGTCGCAAATCTCTTGGAAGGCGTTGGACTGGAGGGCGGTCCTATACATCGCGGCTCTCGCCATGCAGAACAAGTGACGAGCCTGGGCGTTGAATTCACTTTGCCTCAGGTCATACAACATCTCACAAAACATCGCATCCCTGGGAGCTTCCATCAATCTCTGGGGGGCGCGATACTCTTGCTGCATAGCACACGTGGACGAGCGAAAAACTGGGCAACAGAGCAGAGGCAGGTAAAGGCGCACACGTTATACCGCAGGATCGTAGTATAGAGGCCGAGTTTCAGGGCTTCACCTTCTCGGGCACGTCGCACATGGCTGCCCCCCCAGGACAATGCATCCGTATCCTTCTCACCCAATGTCCCATTATATTGACCTGCGGTCGCAAGAACGATATCTGGCAGCACCAGACCGCACTGGTGCAACAAAGCGTCGAATAGTCCCCTATCTAGGCTGCACACAACGACAACCACGCACTTCGAGAGGTTCACCGCTAGGCCAGAAACTCGCTGCGCGAGCGTAAGGACAGAGTGTATATGGCAAGGCCTCTAACCACATCTGCCACGCCAACCCCGAGGTCATCTGAAGACGCAGCAGGAATGCAGAGACTGGGTGGCAAATCAATGTCCAACATCCTCAAGAACGTGTCCGCCGACAGCGCGAATAGAGTACCCGACAACAGACACCCTTGCTAAATGCCTCGAGCAACTTCAAAAAACGCACCTCAAACACCTCCGACCACAACCTGGTCTCTGCAATGAACGGCGACGTTGGCTCGACGGCCTATCTGCAGGGCTCCAAGCATCAACAAAAATCTCCGAGCGCAACCGCGAAGGAAACGCGGGAAAAACGAGTTCGCCGGCCCAACGGGCCAGAGGCGTACCAAGGTCCCCGGTAGCAGGTTAAAAATCGTTCTAATTCGCGCGCGCGCGCGTGGCGGCCCCTGGGGACCCCTGGGCGACAGAAAAAAAAACAAAAAAAAAAAAAAAAAAAAAAAAAAAAAAAAAAAAACGGCCGACCGACTCCCCCAGGCCGCTCCAGGAGCGCGCCAAGAGGGCGCCGGGGCGCCCCACCGCACGGCCCAGGAGGCCCGGAGTGGCCGAAAGACCGCTCCGAGACGCTCAAGATGGTCTCCCGATGGCCCCAGGGGCCGCGAAAAAGCCCCAAGAGAACCTCAAGAGGCTCTCCAAGATGGCCCCAACAAGAAAAAATCGTTCCACCCCCTTCGGAAAATTGTACAGCGTCCAGAAGTGCCCCAGAGACCTCCAACGTCGTCCCCAGAAGGCCCAACACGCCCCCAAGATGGGCCCAGGAGAGCCCAAGAGGACCCCAGGACGGCCCAAGGGGCGGCCAAGACGGCCGAAGACAGCCCCAAGAGGGGCCAAAGAGGGGGAACGCGAACCACCAACTCGAGCCTTGCGCCCCAAGAGGCCCCGAGGAGGCCCCCAGAGGCCCCGAAGAGAGCCCAGGCGGCGGCCCCACGAGGCCCCAAAGAGGCCCCAAAAAAGGCCCGAAAAGAGGTCCCCAAACGGCCCCCAAAGGCCCCAAGAGGCCACGAACGCGCAGGCAGACGCCTGCGAGGGCACAGCACGGGCCTGCAATTGAGCGAATCGATGAAATGCAGCAGAGACGGAAACGCGGGAAAAAAATCAGCTCGCCGGCGGTGTTGCTGCGCAAGCCAGTGGAGCACATATCCCTCCGACTGGATGAGCTCTGTCATCTGCCGCTCAGGATTAAAGCCGTGCTAAATGGGGCCACAACACACCTGAGCAATATAGCACATGGGACTGCTGACAACTTTGCAGACCAACTTGTTGTCGCTATTGGCGAGAATGATGGGTCGAGTGCAAGGCGGGGCCCTGGTGATCAAGTAGGAGTCTTCAGGGTGCTCACACTTGGCCAGGAACACACCCAGGGCGAATTAGACATCCTTGTCCTGAATGCCCCTGCGGAGAACAGCAAAGTAACCCTGGCACAGCACAGAAACGGCCTCAGGATCAGCTTTGGAGACGCACTGTAGGGAATCCAATCGGGGCCGCTTGCTGACGCGGCTGCTGGTGTTCTCTGCCAGTTGCTGGGTAATGCTGCTTGCGGCTGCGTGTTGCCGCTCCGTTGCTGCGTTATGATGACAACTGCAGATGACTGCGCTTGGGGCTTCTCGAGCATATGTTCCAGCGTCTGAGAGACTTCTGGGAAGGCGTGTGGTTTTATACGCCGTTTTGGGTGCCCCAAAAGCCTTTCGAGCGTCTCCATCAGGGCCCACCCAGAGGGCGTCTCGAGCGTCTCTCGGGGACATCTTGGTGGCCCCTTCAAAAGCTGTCTCGGAACGTCTGGGGCTCTCTGGAGCCGACTTGGTGCCGTGTGTATCCTCTTTGCTTCCATCTGCGGCTACTCGTTGCTGATTGTGTTGCTTGCTGCTCCTTGCTGTTTCGTGTCGCTAGTTGCTGCCGCTGGGGCCTTTCGTCGCGCCCATTGGGGCCCTCTGGTGGCCTCGCGCTTCTTCCAGCCTCGCTGGGCCTGTGCAGCAGTCTGACATTCGTCTGCACCCTTTCGGGGGCTCTGTCATGCCGACTGCGGAGCTCTCTCGTGGCCCTCGTGGACTTTCCCGGGGGCATCGTGGGGCCTCTCGTGTCTCTGGCGCCGCCCCTGGCGCCTCCCCTGGAGCCTCCTGCAACCGCCTGGTAGCGCCTCCTGCGCAGGCCCTCCTGCTGGGGCCCACTCCGGCAGGCCCCCGCATTCTTGACAGCGACGGCGACAGCAGCGGCGGCGGCGACGACGGCGCACCGAGAGGCTGGGCCGGGCCGAGGGTGGCGGCGGCCTGGCCCTCGCCGCAGGGCTGCCCCAGGGTGGCCACAACCCAGCCGGCATCGTCGCAGGCCCAGCTGGGGGGCGGCGGGGGGCGGGGGACAAGGGGTCAGGCGGCCCTCTGAGGGAAATCCTGGCGGCCTCGCGCGGCACCTTGGGACCCAGGGCACGTCGGATGCACATCGGATTTACATCGGCATCACGTCGGATTTGCGTCGGAGCTACGTCGGGTTCCCTTCGGATTCACGTCGGATTTACCTCGGACTTTCGCCGGAGCATCACCGCGCGAACGTCTTTCAGGGCTTTCCGCCTCTCGCAGGTCCGTATCTTACGAAGAGGACGTGTGGACAAGATGAAACGACTATTTTGCGCTGCGCGAGGCCTCCAAGATTTTTGTCATAGCCATCCGTTTCCCTTCCCGATAACTCCTCCCTGTCGCACCCCCAGACGAGTCCGAAGGGCGGGCCGAGCGGTCCACCAAAGAACCACTTATGAGGTCACGCGGCCGGGGAGATCGCGCACACTCGCTCACACAAGCCTTCGACCATTGCAGCCATGGTAGGGCCTGTTGTCAAGCGCACAGTCGTCTTCAAGTGTTGCAGCAGATGCAAAGATACGGGGGGAGGGTCGCTTCCAAGATATGGCTCTCGCCTTCGCGCCGCGCAAAGTGATCGTAAAATGCTGCAACAAATAGGAGGATGGAGCTCAGGTGGTCTTCAAAAATGTGGCTCTATTCGTAGAGCCACGCAGATTCGTCACCAAAGCGTGCAAAAATCGCAAGCATGGAGAGCGGTTCCTTGTCAAAACATGGTTCCCGCTTTGCGCCGCGTGCATTCGCATGAAATTAATCCAAAAATTACAAGGATGGGGGGCGCATCCTTTTCAAAACAGGAGTCTCGCCGTAGCGCCGCGCACATTCGTCTTAACATGCTGCAGCAGCTAAAAAGGTGAAGGCGGCACCTTGTCAAAGTGGTCCGCCTCCTCCTCGATAACAACAGTAACGACAACAAACGAAACATGCCAGACGGACAACTCGTACTTCAGAAACAACAAACGAGAACTGAGTATCAAAAAACTGCTCTCGCAAGCAGCGGCGCAACAGAACGGCTCCCGAGGCTGATGGTGCCGGTGCCTGTTGCGTGGCCCCGAGGCTCAGGCATGTAAGCTCATGTGCACGGGCGCTCCAGCACACCTGAGTGGCCACCGCGTCGAGCAGGGCTGGCGAAAAGACGCTCATCCCATGTCATGGCGCTGCAGTGGTGTCCCCCCTCCCCCCTACGCGCGCTCCCTCGCACGGCAGAGACTTCGCCGTGGGCTGCGCCAAATGCCTCACATGACTGCTTGAATTTGCGAGTCGGCTCCCCTGTCACCGTGGGCCAGAAGCTGCACCACTCACTCGCCCCCCCCCCAAGTCGCGAGCTGGTTCGTTAGGCCCCACTTTCAGGATTTCAAAGATCTCGTCGCACCAACCACGGCGACGGACAACGGCCCACAACGACGACGACGACGACGACGAGAGACGACGACGATACACGTCGTCCTCCACCTCGTAGTGTCCCTGGAGTTCGGTGGGAGCCCCTGGAGCTCCCCACACAGGCCTCCAGAGCCCTCCCGAGACTCACTAATAGCAAAACTACATTAGCCTGGCGAAGGACCCAACGACTCGCAAATGTTAATACCGCAATTGTGAATATCGTCGTCGGTGGCGCTCCCTATGAGACCACGAACCGTGTGGGGTGCGTGTCAAATATGAGTGGCGGGGACGCATGGGAACGTCACCACTGGAGCCTTAGGTGGAGCTCCCTATGGGGCCACGGAACGTGCGAAAAGTGTGCCATAATGGGTGGCGGTGGAGCATGGGAACGTCGCAGCTGGGGCCTGAGGTGGAGCTCCCTATGGGGCCACGAACCGTGTGAGGGGTGTGCCGAAACGGGTGGCGGGGACGCATGGGAACGTCACCACTGGAGCCTTGCGTGGAGCTCCCTATTGGGCAACGAACCGTGCGAAGGGTGTGCCAAAGTGGGTGGCGGTGGCGCATGGGAACGTCGCAGCTGGGGCCTTCGGTGGAGCTCCCTATGGGGCCACGAACATGCCGAAATGTGCGGCAGGAACGCCTGGGAACGTCGCCACTGGAGCCTTCGGTGGAGCTCCCTATTGGGCAACGAACCGTGTGAGGGGTGTGCCGAAATGGGTGGCGGGGACGCATGGGAACGTCGCCTCTGGAGCCTTGCGTGGAGCTCCTTTTGGAGCCACGAACCGTGCCGAAAATGGGGGGCGTGCCGAAAATGGGGGGGCTGGGACGCATGCGAACGTCGCCACTGGAGCTTTAGGTGGAGCTCCCTGTGGGGCCACGAACCGTGCTAAGTGTGTGACAAAATTGGTGGCGGTGACGCATGGGAACGTCGCTACTGGAGCCTTAGGTTGAGCGCCCTATGGGGCCACAATTCGCGTGAAAGCTGTGCCAAAATGGGTGGTGATGACGGTAATGATGTTGATGATGGTGGTTGGAGGATGGAAGAGAGGAAGGAAGGAACACGGGGCGCTGTCTCTTCAAAACGAGCCCAATACCACGGGATGGTTGGGAACAAAACATACACGTTCGACCCCCAATCCACGACGGCGTACGTCGACGATGACGACGACGACGGCGACCACGACAACGACGACGACGACGACGACGACGACGACAACGAGAGACGACAACGACAACGACGACAACGACGACAACAACGAGACGACGACGGCGGCGATGGCGACAGCGACGGCGACGGCGACGGCGACGGCCACCCCCGACGTCCTCTAGAGGCCCAAGGACCTTCAAAAATCTGCCGATCCTCCTCGGCACCCCTGCCCTCGGTCTTTTCCGACCCTCCTCGACCCGCCCCGGTCCGACGACCAATACCGACGACGACGACTACACACGACCACGACGACGACGACGACGACGACGACGACGACGACGACGACGACGACGACCACAACAACGGCGGCGGCGGCGGGGGCGGCGGAGGCGGCGGCAGCGCGGGCCTGCCAGGCGCCCGCAGCGGCGGCCTGTCAGCCGCGGCGCTGGCGTCCAAGGTCCCGGCGACCCACGGGTGCCTCCGCACGCGCGCGGTGGGGCGCAGCAGGAGCCAGCACGACGACGACGACGACGACGACGACGACGACGACGACGACGAACGATCGTGCCAGAGCCGAGCAAGACGCCCTCGCAGGCGGCTGCGTGGAGGCCGCGGGGGGCGAGCTCGGCGCCCCAGAGGCGCTCGCCCAGCCCCGACCTCCTCCTCCTCCTCCTCCTCCTCCTCCTCCTCCTCCTCCTCCTCCTCCTCCTCCTGCGTTGCAAACTTTTCACATTGGGCGTGTTCGCCCAGTCTCGGGCCCCAAGGCCAGGGTCTCGGGTTCGGATCGTGATGCCTCGCGGTGTTGCAAGTTTCTGCAACGTCGGGTCTGTCCAACACTGTCTAATGATGGTTTGCTTGCTCGCAGACCTGGATGCTTGGTCAGTGATCCCTCCCTCTGTCTTACCCCTCTTCCCCCCTCTTCCGCTCCTTTCTCCCTCCCCCTTGTCCTCCTCCCCCTCCTCCCTCACCACCACCTTCCCCACCCTCCCTCCCCCACCACCGTCCACCCCCCACCCTTCCTCCCCCACCCTTCCGCGATCAGGGAAAAGAAGCAGAAACATAATTTCTCGTAGGTCCGCGCAGATTTCTTGGATCGGCGTTCGGCCAGCCTTCCTGGCGCACGGAGCGCGCCAGTTGCGGGGCTGGAGGCGCTGCCAGGGGGGCCCAACACCAATCCAAGAAATCCGCCAGAAGCTCATTGTGTTTATGCCGCTGTGGTTGAAAAATTCAAGGCGGACGTTTTTTCTACGCTTTCGGCGCGAGGAGGGACCCAACCATATGCAATGGTGACTACCCCTTTCGGTGGAGCTCCCTCTGAGGGCCACGAACCGTGTGAGGGGTGTGAACGTACATCAAATGAGCGCCTGAATTAGCGCCGACGGACAGCGCTGGCTTCATGCGAGTGTTCCTTTACCGGTTCAAGGTTCGCGCTTATAAAAAAAGCAGTCTGACTTTGGTGCTGAATTCCCGGCTCAATGTGTGGTAAATTCCCAATGGCAATTGTGCGTTAACATGCGGGCTGATTTTCTGTGATCAGTTCTAGGCTAACACTGGAGCTACAAATATACTCGCCTTCCCCCTGCCCTCCCACCTCTCTCTCCCTCCCGTCCTCCGACCTCTCTCTCCCTCCCGCCCTCCGCTGCCTTCCCGCTCTCGCCTTCCTCTCCCCCCCACCCTACTCTTGCCGCCCGGGGGCAGCGGCAGAACTGGCGTGGGGGGGGGGCGTAGAGGGGAGAGAGAGAGGGACGGGGACGGGAGGGGGGCGGCCTGGAAGAAAACAAAAAAAAACAGAGGGGGGGCATGGGGGTGTAAACGCTGGAAGGACGTCGGAGGAAGGTCGCGGACATTCGGTGTTCGACACATCCGTCGGCGACCTATGAAGAACCGCACAAGTACGAACAAATGTAAAAATTGGCCAGACGGGAAGCTCAACCATATGCAGCTTCGAGTAACGCAGGGTACGATCTCCTCCTCATGGGCAGCGCGCCGCGAAAGGGATGGAGCGCGGGGCAGCGCGCATGGAGGCCGCGAAACCTGTGAAAGGTGTGCCGAAGTGGGGGTGGAACCGCATGCTAACGCAGCCACAAGGGCCTTCGGTGGAGCTCCCTATGGGGCCACGAAAGGTGTGAGTGGTGTGCCGAAATGGGGAGTGGAACCGCAGGCGAACGCAGCCACTCGGGCCTTCGGTGAACCTCCCTATGGGGCCACGAAACGTGTAATGGGAGTGCGGGGGGATGGACCCGCATGCGAACGCAGCCACAGGGGCCTTCGGTGGAGCTCCCTATGGGGTCATAAACCGGGTGAGGGGTGTGCCGACATGGGGCTGGAACCGCATGCGAACGCAGCCACTGGAGCCTTCAGGGAAGCTCCCTATGGGGCAACGAAACGTGTAATGGGAGTGCCGGGGGATGGCGCCGCATGCGAACGCAGCCACAGGGGCCTTCGGTGAAGCTCCTTGTGGGGCCACGAAACGTATAATGGGTGTGCCGACATGGGGGATAGAACCGCAGGCGAACGCAGCCACAGGGGCGTGGAGCTCCCTTTGGGGTCACAAACCGGGGGAGGGGTGTGCCGACATGGGGAGTGGAACCGCAGGCGAGCGCAGCCACTGGGGCATTCGGTGGAGCTCCCTATGGGGCCACGAAACGTTTGAGGGGGCGTGCCGAAATGGGGGGTGGAACCGCATGCGAACGCAGCCACAAGGGCCTTCGGTGGAGCTCCCTATGGGGCCACGAAAGATGTGAGGGGTGTGCCGGCGTGGGGGTGGAACCGCATGCGAACGCAGCCACTGGGACCTTCGGTGGAGTTCCCTACAGGGCCTCCAGGCGTTGCACTGGGTGCGCCGAAACACAGACATACGCAGGACAGAGGCAAGGAGGGAAAGGAGGGAGGAGGGGAGGAGGGAGGAAGGAGGAAGGAGAACGCAGGGCGCTGTCTCTTCAAAACGAGGACCCAACACCACAGCTCGTCATAGCAATGCGCCGCGACGGCACACCTCGTGTTCAAGCTCGAGAGCCTTGAACAAAGCTGTTTGGCCAGCGATCCGACTCTTCTGGAAACGCCGCCCCCTGGTTTCGGGAAAAAAGATAAACCCGCCAACGTTCGTCAGCTGGCTCTACGACATCAAATACAGTTCCAAGATCTTCGGCATGTATCTTACCAGCGCCCGATGGCACGATCAAGAATTCGGTCGAAACCTGCCTTCCTGCTGCGCCCGCGGTTCTGGCCCCCGCTGCGGGCAATCATGGACTTCCCGGGCGACAGGGTGGCAATCGTCTCCCCGCGGCCTGTCTTGGGAGAAGGCGCCCGAAAATCTTAAATTGAGTGGCGACCGACCGATCTGTCGCAACTCCCCTCTGACAGGCGAAGCAGCTCGAAAGTAACACTTGCCACCGCGCGGGCAAGGTCTACCCTCTTGATGATGCCAACACTCCTTGTCGCCATTTCCATGTTTCCCACCGCGACCCTTGCGGGGGAGTCTTTCAGCTGGGGCACAATGATCGGCATGTTCTTTCGCCGCTCTTGTTTGGGCCTCGGAACGAGCACGCGGCGAAGTCCCCCCAGACCCAAGCTGTTTCTCTTCCCGCCTGTCTCGCATGAGTTTCTGAATTTCTGTCGGGGAGGAGGCGTTCTGTTCCACCGCACCTCTTACCATCGCAGGCCCTTCGGCTGAAGCCCCAGCAAGGAATGGGATGTCTGCCCCCCCTCCCCCCCGCCCTGCCCCTGCGCCAGCGTCTCGCGAGGCCCTGGACTTCAGGGGCGCCTGAGGCGATTTCCCCGACAGGTCTCCGCCCTTCGGGCCAGGCGTCGCTGCGCGCGGGAAGCCCCTCGGACCCTTGCCAGGCGGGCGGCCCCTGGCCCCGCCGCCCTCGGGCGGGGCTCGCCGCCCGCGTCTTTTCCTCCGGGATCCTCTCCGCCGCAGACGGTATCCCACGCTCGAACAAACAGGCCTCACCAACGTTGCACGAGCCTTCCCGCGGACTCTCTGCACGGAAACCGTTTCTGGGGAGCACCGAATTTCATGCATAGGCTGACCGGGCCCCCGTTCGCAGGGGCCGGAACGACGGGGCGACCTTGACCATTTCTGGGATTTCTGCCTGCTGCGCATCTCGATGTTCCAGCTGCCGTTTCCGTTCCATACGGATCTCGAAATTTTCGTTGGCCCAATCATCAGCGGTCTTCGTCGCTTCGTCCTCAAAGCTAAAATCGATGATCCGGGCCACCTTATCCATGACAGAACACTTCTTCAGCCGTTCGAACTAATGAATACGACGAGCGGGCACACCACCCAGCGCCATTTTCGATGCGCAGGAGACCGAGTCAGCTCATCGTCAGCTTTCTTGCCAGCCACGCTTCTTTCAGAAAATATTAAAACTAAACGAGCAGACGGCACTCTGATCTCATTTCACCGATACAGATTGACCGATGACTCTGGCAATTTCCTTCCTCGCAAGGACCTGGCAACAGCTCATTGTCCGTTGGTCTCAACCACGCTGTTATATCGTCTCGCTGCAGGATTTCGGGGCACGCCACAACTTTGCTCTCTGCTCAATAGATGGGACGCGATCGAAACGTCTAACTGAGGGACTCTCCCAGGGTCGCTCAGCGAAGACGCCTACAAACTGGTGTCCAACACAGAAAAACCCGTCAATGCCTCATCAGGCTCTGACACCGCGGCAGTCACTACCCGACGCGCGCATCTCGACAACTCAGGCAAAAAAATTGGAAACGTTGGGAATATCGGGAAGGTTGAATTCCATTGCGTCTTTCTTGCCTAGCGGCCTCGGTTCTTCTCCGCTGAAAGAAGCCGATCCAACTGCGCCATCAGGCGGGGGGGCGCCGCCTCCCGGCGGCCCGTCGCCGCCAGAAAAACCCAATCCTCCACCGAAACCACCCGGGGCGCATCTGGAACGACCGCCACATGCCGTCACCCCCAGACGGGCCCCCGGGCCCTCCAGGGCCCCGGCCATTCTCTCGCCGCCTCCATGCTGCACTGAGAGGACCAGCCAGAAAAGGCACGAGGATCACCGTCGAGAAGTTCATCGCCCCCACCCCCGCCACCGTCATCAGGGCCAGCCCCTCCCCAACCCCCGGCCACCCACGATGGTCCGCCTCGGTGCGCCAAGCATCGCGGAAGCGTCTTGTCCCCCCCTCCAGAATGCTCGCACGCGTCCTTATATTCCCCCTGGTATATACATTTCCCTCGGGCATCGCAAATAACGACGCATCGGCCCCTGCAGCTTCGGCCTGTGACTGGAAAGCTCCCGCCACTTCTTCAAGGATTAAAATTCGGAGCCCATGAACAGAACTCCCCCCTCAAAGTGCCTCGCGGTTCGTTTTTTCCCCAATCTCCTGTTCGCGCCTTGCGCTGCGCTCCACGATCCCTCCTGCACCTCGAGCCCCCCTTGCTTCGGCCCTGCGGGGCGCCCCCGCCGCCGCACCCTGCGTTTGCCCCGCGCGAACTGGCGGCTCAGACGC